GTTCAGATGCCTGATTGATGCCTGCAGTTCATAACACGTACACTCAGCAAATAAGCACACAGAGATGCTTCCGGATGTCTCTGTTAGTATTCTTCTTTCATGTAAGATGCTTATATGTAGATTTTGAATGTAAAAGATTAAAAGCCGCAAAATTGTATTTAGAAAATACAGAGTTAGAAGCCACGATTCTTGTTTCTGGTCTTGTCTTTAACATTTTCGGTACATTATGAAAGATTCTAAAGAGTGGGAAATGGCAACCGTCTTCAACAAATTCAGTTTACAGGGTAACATTTATAACTCATTTGCAGCAAGTGCTCCCACATTTGCGAACGATCAACTATTATTTGTTTGTTAGCTAGAGAAATATGTAACATTTGCTAAGTTAAAGTTGTGTAAAAAAGTAAAATGTTTGGATATGGGGAAGACATTTTATGACTTTATTTTTACTTCCATTCCAATACAGTTCAGAGGGAATTTGTCATTGTTTTTCCTCTGCCTTTATTTGACAGCTACAAACTGCTGTTTCCAACCTTACAGTTTTTCTCGATTGCTAACACACTAAAATTATACATAAAGCACAATTATTTTAACTGCCACTCAAAGAGCAAAACATCGGCTCAAATCTCCAAAACTCTAAACACGTTTTCAGCTTTTCACACAATTTGCAAATCAACATGGCACTTTTTGCAAACCACTGCACACGTTTCTCCACGTAAGACACAGGAATCTGACATAAAGTCACGTGTTAGCTGGTTTAAAACACTGATATTCAAAATGCCTCACACATGGACCAATGATCAAGAAACACGTTCCAGCTGACCAAACACCTGATAGCATAATTGTTGGCTCATCAATCAGGATGTTAGCACTATAAAAAGACCACAGGTGAGTACTTTCTTACAGCAACAATGGAAGCCAACATGGAAGCAAGAGGAGGAGGAAGAGGTGGGGTGAGAGTGAGAGGAGGAGGAAGAGGTGTGGTGAGAGTGAGAGGAGGAAGAATGAGAGGTAGAGGTAGAGTTGGAGGGAGAGGACGTGGACAAAGAAGAATACTCTCTAATGAAATGAAATATTATCAACCAAGTGCTTTAGATCAGTGGTTCTCAACTGGTCAGGCCTCAGGACCCACTTTGTCCTTTGTCAATAAATCGCAACCCGAAATTTTGAACCACTCAAATCTATTCAACAAAAAATCGTGCTGTAATATATACGCTTTTCGAAATACATGATTAAAGTGAAGTACAGTGCATATATCCCTTATATCCCTTCACAGAACTGAAGTATGCTTTTAAAAAAGGTTTAATGAGATGATGGAATCAAAGCTGAACTGTATAACATAAAAAGGCCCACATGCTGAAAACCCAACCCCAGAAGGGGGTCTGGGGGGATTCTCTCCCAGGAGATTTTTAGAACAACATATAAACTACGCATTCTGGTACACTCTGAGAAGAAAATAAATAAATCTATTACTACCCGACATATTAATAATATTTTATGCCATTGTTTGTTTGTCACTTAGTTCTGACAGATGAACTTGCTGCTCCTCACAGAGAGAAGAGTAAAGAGGAGATAGTCTGTGTGAATTACTTTAAATTGTGGGTAAGGGTAGAGAGCTCCCATTGTTCTGTGACCTGTCAATCATCAAACCGGGGGTCATATTTCATTATGTGTTCATTTGTATCTGAAGTTGTACCCATGGTTGTATAAAGAATAGTTCTACCGCAAAGTTATTCTCCGTGGGGACTTCCGGCAACAATCTTGATTCTGATTGGCCAGAAATCATGACTCGAAAAAACATCAGCAAAGATGTTTTATTGAGAAGATGATCACTACGTGAAGTTTTCAAAACCGTTTATGGTCTCCGGTACTTCCAGTCCAACGCCTGCATGCACAGCGTTAGAAAATCGGGCTTTCAAAATAAAAGTTTGACTTTTTTCCCAAAAAAAAAAAAAAAGAAATTCTTTTTTTTCAAAAAAGAATTCTTCACTCACACATCTGCGACCAGAGTTGGGTGTAACACGTTACTGTAATAATATTACTTTTGTCGGTAACGGAGTAATGTAATGCGTTACTTTTATAATTCAGTAATCACACTACAGTTACTAACATTGCCCGACACGCGTTACTTTGTTACTTTCATAAAATCAGTAATCACACACTACAGTTAGCCTACTAACATACAGAATTACTAGATTCTCCCTTTGACAGACAAGAGGGATTTCCGCCGCAGGTTTATATTTACGTAACATTTGCGCGACTTGCGCGTCCACATGCAGTGCATAAACATGGCTGAGTCAACAGCGATAACTTTCGAGGGGTGGAGGTCTGCCCATTATTTTGAGTTCGTCCGAAGAATAGACAGGAATGTGACGGTGAGGTGCAAACTGCATGTGTCCAGGCCAGAAGCTTTTATCCACTGCTGCAAACACAACGTCAAACCTCAACAAGCACCTGCAAAGACAACATGTTAACGTGAAGCTAATAGCTAAGGAGGACCTCCGAATCCAGAGTGAGGATGTCGAGTAAAGTAACGACACTGTAGGTGGCCGCATTTGCGCTTCAGATGAGGCTCCCTCCGCAAAATGAAGCACCCTCCGCAGTCTGCGTGATCTGCCTGTAGGGAGGGGCGGCCCTGCGAGTAAAGTAACGAGTAAAGTAACGAGTAAAGTAACGCGTCTCTACTTTATGTAGAGAGTAACGAAGTAAAGTAATATATTACTTTTTTTTAAAGTAATAAGTAATATGTAATATATTACTTTTTTTGAGTAACGACCCCATCTCTGTCTGCTACCCACTCGAAACGGGTCCGCGACCCACTTTTGGGTCGCGACCCACCAGTTGAGAACCACTGCTTTAGATTATGCTCAGCAGTGTGTAGTTGGGTGGTCAAATTGGGTGGTATTATGAATGAAGTGTGCAAAAGTTCGCATTTGGTTTATGTAGTAAAGTGTTTATGTAGTTTTGAGTGCAGTTCTTAATTTAGCAGGAGAAATTAGGTGTTTTGCACTTTGGGTGTGTGGTTTTGTGAATTGTGTTTAGTGTTCTGAGAAACTGAGCAATTAAAAAAAAAATGTGTGTTAGCAATCGAGAAAAACTGTAAAAGTCTTGTAGTTTTACACTTTTAATTTAACTTGTGTTTACTAGTTTATCAGCAGTATAAAGGTCACCCGTAAAACCAACAGCGTGATGTTTTCAATAACCAATGATCACTCTTTTTTGGCTTATAACATTTGAAATGAAAGACACTAAAGTCTGTCCTTATCACCTCTCAGATGTCTATGAATTACAATTAGTGACAGAAATGCAAAGATTAAAGTTCCAAATATAGACATACATAAACATATGTAAATATGTGTGCAGAGTTGTGATGCAGAATCTTATTATTTCCTCACCCGTACATCCCCTTCCAACACACTTAAATTAACATATCCGACCCCTCGATCGAGAGCCATTGACTCACTGTATATTCAAGCAATAGCTTCGCGTCGGGCCGAACCACGCCCCTTAGCTGTGATATAATGAGCATATACCACAGCCTGAAGTGAGCTATTGCTTTTATAAAACGGTTACCAAGTGTGGCAATATGAAAGAAAAATACACACTCTAATTTAAATAGTTTTTATTAGTAAATAATGATGTTCAAAATAAACAGTCCCTCCGTTGCCTTCTGCACGAAACATAGTGTGAGGTGGTTGCTATGCAACAACACTAACAACTATCGAACATATTAGACAGAGAGCGTTGATCCATTATTTGGCTATTTATTTACATTAATGTGTATGTTGCCGTTTATTGTGCACCCACTGAAAAACTGTCCAGCATCAGTAGAATGGCTTACGTGGTTATAGGCTGAGGTTGTTCTAGGCTGTTGCTTGGCGTGGCGAGAATATTGCTCCACTTTCTCCGGTCCCCGAGATTCGGCTTCCAGTAGCTCTGGAGAGAGCTTTCGCACCTGTGGCCACTAACGGTCATCATTTCTCTGCTTTGTTTCAAGACCCGCATCAGAAAGCTTTTGAATGGTGGTACTTTTCCAGTTGGTCTACCTGCTCTGCACGTAGCTCTACATGTCGTCGTTTAGGTGCTTTTCTTTCTGGAGATAGGCACTCCTCAATCCACTCCTCCATAGTAAGACCCCCCCGGAGGTCGAAGTTAACCTTAAATGTTTCCATCTTAAGCTTTGTAAGTTTGTTTCGTAACGGACGAAATGTAAATATATTTATAAAACGGACAAGTCAAATCAAGCAATCTGATTGGTCGATAGCGTTTTTGCGGACCTTTTTGATTACAGATTTGAAAACATCGTTGCTTGCTTTAAAAGTAGCACAATTCATTTTGTCAAACCTTGGAAAGTATCTAGATATCCCTGTCTTAATGCCAAAGTAACTGGCAACTGAATATGTTTTGCCGTTTGATGTCTATGTCTGGACCATTGCGTAAAAAGGAGGGTTTCTGCCCCGTTACTTCTCCGCTACAGTTAAATCGACTTCTTTCTGCAGATGTGAGCGTCCTTTAACAGCGGTCAATAAGTCCTTGCTGCACATTATCCCTTACATGTTTCCATCTTAAGCTTTGTTAGTTAGTTAGTTTCGTAACGGAAGTAATGTAACAGTTGTAACGGTTGTAGCTTTTCTCAGACGCGGAGGGATACTGACTTGTTGTGAAAAGTAACTACAATTCTACCCGTGGTATACGCTCATTATTTCACGGCTAAGAACCAATCAGATTGCTTGATTTGACTTGTCCGTTCTATAAAAAGCAGTTATATAATGTCATGTTTAAAGATACACCATTCGCAGAACTGAGAACTTGTGATATTTTCATTTAACAGAGTATTGAAGTGGGATTATAAATGACGGACTTTTTTTTGCAGTCTTTAATCGGTTACATTTGAGTATTTATTTTGCTGCTGTTTTCTAACTAAATGCGTACCTTTTGGTAACGTTATAACCAGGGAAACCTGTTGTATAACTTCAGTATACTCCTCTTTTTGATTCATCCAGATGGATCTCAGAGGAATGGGAGCATTGCACCAAAACCTGCGGCAGCCTGGGCTTCCAGATCCGGACGGTCCGATGTGTGCAGTTCCTCCACGAGGGCACCAACCGCTCCGTCCACAGCAAGTACTGCAGCGGGGTGAAGCCGGAGAGCCGGAGGCCCTGCAACAGGGTCTCCTGTCCGGCCCAGTGGAGGACCGGAGCCTGGTCAGAGGTGCAGTATCCATATAATAATAATAATAATAATAATAATAATAATAATAATAATAAATTCGATTTGTAAAGCACCTTTCATTGCTCACAGCAATCCCAAGGTGCTACAGGAGGCATAATAAAAACAAACAAAATAAACAAAAGTTTAATCAAAAGCTTTTTTTAAAAGAAAGGTTTTTAAGCCTTTCTTGAAGGCGTCAGTGGTCTGTGGAGTCCTCAGGTGGTCTGTGGAGTCCTCAGGTGGTCTGGGAGGGAATTCCACAGGCGAGGAGCAGCTGCACAGAAAGCCCGATCCCCCATTGTGCGGAGTTTGGTCCTCGGGGGGGCGAAGCCGATGGTTAGTTGTGGAGCGGAGGTTGCGTGTGGAGGTTTGAGATGTGAGAAGTTCCTTCAGGTATGGAGGAGCGTTCCAGTGGATGCATTGATGGGTCAGTAGTGCGATCTTGTATTCGATCCTGAATGAGACAGGAAGCCAGTGGAGGGAATGAAGAACGGGTGTGATGTGGTTGTATTTTCTCACACACATATGATTATTTTAAAGGTCCCCGATTATGCAAAAGGCACTTTTTAATGTCTTTAATACATAAATGTGTCCCCGGTGTGTAAGGACACTCACAAAGTGTCAGAAAAGAAAACCCTCTCTCTTTTCCTCCGTACCCAAATCTCTAAAAACGGGGGTACAACAGAGTTGATCCAGATTTGCTGCCGATATGACGTAATATCGGAAATGTGGGCTGGCAGAAACAATGCGCAACGTTTTGGAAGTAATATGGTCTGTGTTTACATTAGCAAGCATCGCTAACACTCAGACCCAACCTGTACTGGAGAGAGTATGTGTAAAGAAGCAGGATATAAAAAGGTACTCACCCGCGAGAGAAAAAGAGTTTGAGCTCCATACTTTTACAGAAATAATCCTTGATGTGGTTTGGAACATGATATGGTGTTTAATCACAGCAGCATTTAGCTGGGAATCTGATTCTGTCTGCAGCTCTGCTGCATGTGCGCTCCAAAGGGGGGCGTGGCCCCGTAGCTACTGACCCAGAATCAGCACTTTTGTAACACGGCTGAAATAGAGGCGTGTGAGGCATGGCTACAATGGGTGATCTGTTTGGTATTTTGAGCAAAACACTTCAGAGACATGTTTTGGATCGATATGGCCCTATAATATATTGTGGTGAGCTTTAAAGGAGAAAATGTCTTATGACTTTATAGCATAGGGCTTGATTTGTGCAGCCGTTCACATCTCTGGAAGCTGAGCGCTGTTATTCTGTCGTCTGGGCTTGTATAATTTAGCTACTACCTAATTTATCATCAATCTGTCGGATTGATTTTGTTTTTAATGACTAATACATTTGTGTGTGTATTTGTGTTGATGCAGTAGCAGCTTGACTGATAATGGCAGGTCATTCTAAAGTTAAAAAATGAAGCATGATGCGTATGATATTTAATTTAAAGCAATGTCACATCTCATCTGGAAACATGCCATGCTAGCAGCGGATTTGTGTGGGTTCAGATCTTTTTTTCTTTTTTAAAATCATGGTTTGTCCCCATATTGGGAGAGAGCTCTTTATATGCATGCATGTAATTACTGTATGCACTGAGCTAGCAGTATTGTAAATATAATTATTATAATTATGTTTAATTGTATTTTTATTTATCTATGAGTTACAATTAGATGCTTGTGAAATCAGTCAATAATCACAAAGACTCATTTGGGCTACAGCTGTGAGGAATAAACAGACTAATTGTGTCCCTGACATTTAGGCCCAATCCCAAACCACGCCCTACACCCTACCCCTACACACTACCCCTCCGTTTGCGCGTTCGCGCGGAGGGTCCGCCACATTAAGTGCTGTTCCAAACCAACGAGTGTGGAGAGGTGTGGAGGGGGAGTGGGCTATCAAGCCCTCAAACAGCGAGTCTGCATCGGTGCTGACTTGAGACTGGTCTCTACCTGACCGGAGTCACGCTGTGTGTGTCCGTCAGGAAACACGCTGTTTACAAGTAGTTCCAGCAAACATCCACTGATAAATTGCGATGTTAACAACCTCATGATAACCTCATATTTTTTTAACTTAGGATCATACCTGTGTTTAGTCTAGAAAAAGGTAAATGTGTGCATTTTATTATAAAGTTGTGTATATTTACAGACTGTTGCAAAAACTAAGAAGCTTATAAACATCAGGTTTAAAACTAAAAGAGCTTTACAAAAAAGTAACACAATGAAAGATGTTTGGAGTTTTATTTGAGTTCTTAATTTACATTTTTTGTCTAAGAGATGCTGATTTGAAACCGTTGTTACATACAGTTACGGCATTTCCTGTTTCTGCCGGAGAGAGGGGAGTTTGTCCCAAAGCTTGCCGCTGTATTTACTCCCTCCATCTGACAGGAGGGAGCCTCGTTGAGCTGCGAGTGTGGCTACAGACGGAGTTCACTCCGCCACGGAGGGGTAGGGTCGAGGGGGTGGTTTGGGATTGGGCCTGAGATTCACCCACAGTTGGTGACCACAGCAGGAAATCAGTCTAAAAACAGCCACATTACTAATAAAAAACTAAAGCTTTCATCTTTCCAACGATCTAAGATTCAGTTGATGGTTTACACAGTACTAAATGCCTGCTTTATTTAAAGTGGTAATTCTTAACGTTTCAATGTTTGATTGGCAACTAATTACTGATAGCAACAGCAAAAACTGCGAGTAGCAAGACAAACTATTATTGTTTTAAAATATGCGGGGAAACATTTTCAAGCTTACTGACAAACCTTACATTTCTATGATTAGATCCTAAAACATCAACTTTAACCGGTTAAATGCATTTAATGCGAAGCTGCAGCAGTAAGAAATGTTTGCATATTTTCTGGCAATGTTGCCAAGTCACCCAAATTATAAAACTGCTTATGAATATATGATATATGAGTGAATATTACAATACTTGTAATAGCATATATAACAATTCTGTCTCCTCATTTTGGAGATTGATAGTGACTTTTTTTGATTAAGTAAAAAACATATTGTTATCTTATTAAGTTCACAAAGTGCTTGTAATAAACTAGTTTGTACAGCGTGTTGACACATCACTTCCTACAAATACAATTTATATTTGTTAAAGGAGACGTGTCATGGCCATTTCCACTGATCATAATTCCATTGTTGAGGTCTACTAGAATAGATTTATACTGTGCATTTTTCCAAACTCACATTGGTTTCTCATACAGCATCTCTGTAAACTACGTGTATTCACTGAATTTCACTCTCTGCCTTTAACGGCTCGTTGTAGCTCCAATAGCTCCAGCCCCCACCCTCCCTGTGAGCACAGTGTGCTCTGATTGGTCGGGACGTTGTGAATCGCGCTGAGCTCTGTGGAGGTGTTGTTTCCTTGTTTAGGATACATAGCGAAACACAGCCAAACTCATCCTGAGCACACACAAACTCACAGCCGAAGTAAAAACAATAAGTGTGGCTTGATATTGAGTAAGAAAAAGGTTGATAAACGCTGTGAGAATGGGTCTGCAGAGAGAATTTTGCCGCGATCCCAACTGTCTGTTATCAGCCTGCAGCCAGGGAGGAGAAATCAGCTGAGCTGCCTGCTCCCTGCACACAGATGTGTGTGTGAGGAAGTCCGTGGATTGGTCAATTTGGACCAATCAGCGGGGGCTTAACGTAACGGCTCCGCGGACGTAACGTAACAGCTCTACGGATTGGTCCATTTCGTTCCAGGTACAGGTTGACATCATGCCGTACCCGGAAGAATCAAATGGACAATGACGTATGGACAATGACGTATCTCCAACGAGGCGTTTTGGGGAGGTATTTTCTGTGTTAGAGTTTTACTCGCTACAGGGTGTACTTTGAGGGTTTTGACTCTGCACACTGTTTACATGCATAAAAACCTTCATAACACACAAGGGGACGGGTAATAACCAGAAAAGCATGACACCTCTCCTTTAAGACATTTTTTGAGTGTTTTTCTATTGTTGGAAGACAAATCCTTGTAAGTGTAGCCTGCTTGAGATCAACTTGAAGTGGCACTAAGGCATAATGATAACTAATGGGCATGTCTCATTGGTCATTACGCTGTCTCCTAAAATGTATGGCAGCTCAAGTTTTACAAGACAGGATTTTTGCTATTCTCCAAAAATCATGACTAAGTATGTTAAAATAATTTATGTTGGATACAAATCCCTCATGATCCTGAATCCTGATCATCTTTCAGCTGATTTAAACATTAGCAGTCACCAACTTTATGCTAATCATTTTTGTATTTATCATCATCCAAAAATGAGTAATAATGGATTATGATGGACAAAGGAAATCAACGCAACACTGTCTGTTGGAACTTCTAATCTCCTCAGAGTGGATAATAGTACAGCAGAGTTGTAAGAAATGTTGTAAAAAGTATTTTTGAAGAGCTGGTGCACATTCAAAGATAGTGTAATTGATGGCTAAGTTTAATATATTTTTTAAACTATTTTTTTTCCTGGCAACAAAGGAGAAAAAACAACGACAAAACAGCAATTGTAACTCTAAATATTAGAATAAACTGAGAAATATGACATTAGTGCATCCCTCAAAAATGCAATACAAATTAGAGGCTCTAATCCAATTTGATCTTTCGTCAAATGTAGAGGAAAATAATCAAAGTAAAGTTGAGCTTCCCCTTGCTTCTTACACAAACTCTTCAGCCATGTTCGGAAAAACCATCCAGACACAGAAACCGTGATAGATTGTATTTCCTGCAGATTCACCTGTGAAAACCAGATTGAAAAGGGGGATAGAGGAAATGTGTCCATGCTGATATTTTCTGCCGGCTCAGCTGGGCAGCGGCACATATAGTTTGTACTCTAGGTGGATATTGAACTTCGAGTGGGCTTGTTACCCAGCCAGTTATCCTAACATTTACGTCTGCCTCAACTACAAAAGCGGAGTCCTTTTGCTGCAATGTCTCTGAGTGTGTTTGCCATCTTCCACAGTGCTCTGTGACCTGTGGGGAGGGGTTGGAGAGGCGTCTGGTCTCTTGCCGGATCGGAGATCAATGTAACGGAGAAAGACCTGAAAATGTGAGAACGTGCAGACCAGGACCCTGCCACGGTAAGCATGTTTTTCATAAAAAACTAAAGGAAAACAAATACCTACTCAAGACAAACCCCCACAACACAATTTCAATGTTATGGTTCAACATGTCTGCACCTTTTGCGTTCTTAAATAACAAATCCTTCCAGCAAGTCCTCAAAAGTCCTCAAAAATAATCTACATGTCATTTCCTTCCTAAAGCAATTTTTTGTCACAACCTTCCAGGCAGCCGTTGGTACCCGATAACAAGTAATGCAATTCATGTCAATGAACGTTAAGTGTGTATTTATTTATTTTAATGTGCCATTATTGTCGGGTGGTAAATACAGTTTTGAAAATGTCTGCCCTTCACCCCACAACACTAATGGCGCATTTCCACCACACGGTCGGCCTCGGCCACGCTCGGTACTGCTTGGCCGCGTTGGGCCTTAACAGGGCCGGCTCACTTCATGCTGCGCTTCCATTACAGTTTAGGAACTGGGGTAGTTACTATAGTAACGCAGTGTAGGCGGAGCCGTGACGTCATCTTCAATGAGAACCCCAGAAAAACAACACAGCCGTTAGCTGTTAGCACTCAGAGCTCACAGCTCCTTATATATGTTCAGAAACTCGACAAAAGTTAAACAAGTACACACCACAGACTGCCTGTGTCATCGCGAGTACAGTCGCTGCTTTATTTATGTCTGTATAGGCCGTTGTTGTGAGTGTGGACGGTCGGAGCATATATTGAGTTAGCTTAGCCAATCTCCATTTAGAAAACACGCATTTTAAAAGGTTTTTCACCTACCGTCTGTCTGCAAACTTGCCAAAGCATTAATTCATGGTTTTTACTAACCGGTATCAGTATGTTGTTACTTCGGCATCATTTTGAAACGTGTATTACAATTAAATCACGGTCAAATATGTCCATCTTGTTGTAGTTGTAGCCTCCTTGCCAGCGATTCTCTCTCTAGTTTAGCATACTCAGCCCGACTCAGCCCTGTTTGTTGGCCCCGATAGAACCACAATTTTGTCGGGCCAGAAAAGAGGTGAAAAAGTGGCCCCGGGCCGGGCCGGGCCGTAACTAGGCCTAGTGGAAGCGCAACCAAAAACGGGCACGGCACGACACGGCACGCTTAAACCGCGCTCCGCGCCATGGTGGAAATGCGCCATAACAAAACTGCTGAATTTCTCAACTCTAGCAGGTTTAAAGAGTCAAATATTTCTATTAGATATGAATAGAAAAACTGCTGCCTGGAAGAAAGGAACATAACACTTCAACTTAAAAACAGCCTGGTTTGCAGAATAGTCATTATTACAGTACATACTTGTAGTGAGTGGACTGAAATGGTCTTTTTCTATATTAGGATCCCCGATAGCACTAGCATGAACATTGGCTATTCGTCCTAGGGGCCTACACAGTCAAACACAAATGTCCATCTAGCCACACAAACACAACACACTTAGACACAAAAAATAAAAAATGTAAACTACTCATTATGCAGATTGGCCCATTTCAGAATAATATAAATGATATGTTTTTATTATAATTATTGGTCATTAAAGTGTTCTCAAAGCTGGTAAAGGTGCATCTAGTTTTAATGACTTTGTATACTGTAGCTTGTGAATTAACTCCAGGTTTGACTAAAGTCTTAATTAAGGGTTCATTATATTTCACATCATTAATCCAAATCTGTTAAGTAACTAAAGGTATTAAATAAATGTAGTGGAGTAAAAGTACAGTACTTGAGTAAATGTACTTAGTTCCTTCCAACTTCTGGTGAGGACATTTATGTCGGCTTGGTAAATTGTTGATGTTGGAGTCCAGCACAATAGAGGGAGTAAACACACACAGGAATCCCAAAATGGAATTAAATATGGCATTTTGCTTTAAGTGCAACTTGGGTTACTGTTTAGTAAAAATAACATAGTCTTGCTTTATCATTATTCTACAACCTTTACTGGCATTTATTTTTGAAAAAGAGCATCTTTCGTCGATAGTCGAGTATGTCCGTATTTTCAAACCTATGAAAATCACTTTTTAAAACTCTTTCCTGTAAACATCCATTGCCTAGTGGATTTTCAGCAGAGATAAAGGTAAACCGGGATGAAGATACAAATAACACAGGCTCCTTCAAACGTGCTGTGTTCAGATTATTTTTTGATAAAACCCCCTCTCCCTTACTTAGTATCCTATAGTATTTGTATGCCCATACAAATATAAAGGTATATAATGAAATGGGGGACAGCTAAAAAGAAGATTGAGTGAGAAAAGGTCAGGAAGATGTTTCAATATGCTCACTAAAAACATTTTCATAGTTTACAGTTTTCTAACAAAAAAGCAAAATATCATCCACTGCGTATTAAACCTTTGCAGCAAAATGAAAGTAAGAGTATCTTTGTTTTTATGTCTGCAAAAAAGTTTACCTCAGACGCTCCCTTGAGGGAATAATGAAGTCTTTTGATTTTTCAAAGTGCTCTCCAAGATATTCTCTGAGCTCTTTCGGCAATGTTTTTAATTTCATTGAATATTTGATGCGGTAAATATCTCCTCTACTTCTTTTGTGTTTTGCATTCATACAGCAGTGTCCGATTTGTGCCTCTAACTCAGTCAGCTTTACATTTGAATTACCCTTAAAATCAAACAAGAATAAATGATTTTAGTAATCCCCTACCAGTTGATTGCGGATAATAAGCCATCATTACAGGTGATAAAATGTCTTCATTTTATTCAGACCGTTAGAAAAGTCTTTGAGGATTCTGGAAATATCTTACAAAACCAATAAGCATATAAGTAACAGCATCAGGTATTTATTTGTTGTATGCTTAATTAAGTGTAACCCCTTAATCAGTGCAAAGGTCAAAAAAGCTTTACTAAAATACAAAATTAAATAAAAAAAGATGATACAACAGTTAGAAGAACAAACAATGTAACATAATATGTGAAAGCAAGATTTGTATGCCTTTTATATAATAAAGTAGGTATTGGTGCTGTATGAATACTGTGAACATATCGAAACCCTAAAAAAATGTCAAGCTTAAAAATACACCTGTTTGTCACCCAACATTGAACCTGAAATGGAGCACACCCTCATTCTGATGACTAATGTATGGTGGTGTGCAGGGGCGGACTGGCCATTGGGAATACCGGTCGGTCAAGTTTCCCGGGCTGATTTTTAGTCCCAGTCCGCCCTTGGTGGTGTGTATCTGAGAGGCAGCTGCTGTGAATCAGACTTCATTAGAATGAGCATCATACTGTTGATGAAATGTTCTACGGTTGTGTCATGGCATTAACACTTATCTGTCAGACTCTGATAGTTGAAAACAATGAATAAGTGATCTGTAATGCACCCACTTACTCTCAGCCTGTTTGATCTCTTTCCATGGCCATCTCTCACAGCTTCTCGGGGCTGTGTGAAGTGCTCTGTGCCCACACTGTTTGCTTTTTGCTTCCTTCAGATGAGCCATGTAATGGAGACAAATCCATCTTCTGCCAAATGGAGGTCCTAGCACGCTACTGCTCTATTCCAGGCTACAACAAACTGTGCTGCGACTCGTGCACCAGACGCGGTGGAGCTCTGTTCCCGGAAGCGGCTGAGATGGAGGATCATGTCCGCTTCGGCTCAGCCTCCCAGCTGCTGGAGACATTAACGGCCTCTGCAGCGGCCAACGGCACTCGGCGAGGAAAACAAGGACCAGGCAAGGGATCCAGCGCCTCAGTCAATGCTGTGAAACACGCCATCACCCCTGCCCCACTTAAGAAAACCCTGTCGAAGATCGCTACCACAGCACGGCGGGTACCACCACACATGGCTCTAACTGGCAGGAAGCTGCCCGCTATGGCACCATCTCCCCTGGCTGATTCCACACAGGGTCAAAGGTCGGGCAGCGTGACAGATAGTGGGTGGCCTACAGCGTATTCTGAAGTGGAGAGATGAAAGAAACGCCCCTTTCCCGTCAGGACTTTCAATAATGTACTGCAGATTATCCAGCTTCAACCTGAGTCTTCTCACGCCAAAAACACCACAGAGAGAAACGCAGAGAAAGAAAGAAAAAGTGCTGGTTCACTTTGTTGTTAAGAATTTCCATTCCTCTATGCCCCTCATATTGACTTTTAATGTATAATCTTCCAGGTAGCTCCCAGAGTATATTATTACTTAAATTGAGTTTCTTTGATTTCATTCATTTAATTGAGAGGAGTAAATAATACAATTAATTAAAATTAAAGGGGCCGCAAGGGAAATTTCATCCCATGTGAAAAGATTAAGGAAACAAAGTGTTGGTAGTTAATAGTGAATAATTTCAGGGATACAAAATAGCCAAAGGATATATTATTATTCATTTAATTTACTCCAGACTAACAGTATATATAACAAAGAAATTGTGGTTTAATTCCAATTGAACCCTTTTACCCATCTGAGTATTGAAGCTTTTATTTAAAGTCAGGTGAAAGGTATGGACAAAGGTGTCCATATTCCCCCTCTGGTTGCTCTTTTCTCTGGTCATTTAAGAGAAATGGAGGCTGTGTCTGCAGAGCCTCGCAGCCTCCAGAAAATCTTCAGCAGATAGCGAGAGAGAAAATGTCAACAGGTGCAATAATTACAGCTGATTCAATTTGTGAAGATGTATGCACACTGCAGAAAGACAACTCAGTACAGGAATAAAACAGAAATACATGTTGCACTTGTTACAAAAAAAAACAACACGGCTCGAGTGCAAATTGTTACATTCACCATTTTGTTATTCGTAAAGTTTACCCCAGATGCTTTTCGTTTGATTAACATTGCATTACAGCAAGTTTCGACTAATGAAACGCCACCATTTCAAATCTCTGATCTCTCACCTTGGATGGGAGGTTTTATTTGCTATTAATTAATCTAACAAATGACATGTAATGTAATGTAATTGAAAGTTGTAGTTGATGGAAACAGAGATGTAAAACGGTAATTCTGATGCAGCTGAAAATGTACTTGAACGTTACAAACTACCAATTTCTTGCCAAAAAATGTAAGTGTGAAGCTTGACTTACGGAGAACCCACATGTCCTAGTATGTGAGAAGTCACTGCATTTTATAAAATTAAACACTAGTCTTTATATGGCCACAAATGCAAAGTGGCACAACCAGTGGAAATGGTTGAAGTTGTATAGATTTTTTTTTATATAGATCCAGCAATGTCAGTTAAATGGGGCTCTACAGTTTCTATTGAAATGGGTATTTATAAAGGATGCTGTAAATACTGTGTATGAAAATATCAGTATTATTTTAAGAAGCTGAGAACACTTTCAAAAAACATTTTAATCAATTATAAAAGCATTTATGTTACAGCAACAGTGTTACAAGGACATAAACAACTATTTTACCCTGTATGTGAATGCCAAGTTCTCTGGGGGGAATGTTTCTATGACAATAGTTCAACAAAACTCTTAGCTTAGCTTAGCTTATTTTAGCTTATCTTAGCTTAGCGTAACCAATGGAAGCATGGGGAAACAGCTAGTTCTGCTTCAAAACTTCTAAAGCTCAATTCTGACATGTCCTATCTTTGCTTAAAGTGGACCTATCATGCTATATTTGAATAATATAGTGTAGGACCATACCTATATAAGGCATATTTTTTTTTCAAAATACCAAACAGATCATGCATTTTAGCCATGCCTCATTTCGCTCAATTTGACATTTTTTATCCCTGTTTTAGCAAGGGCAGATTCAGTGAGAACAGCACCATCTACAGGCCTGGCATATGTACTACAACGTCTCCAGCGCTTTCGAACGGCAATGGCCGTGGCTGTCTCCTCCTGATTGGTGGAGTTGGCCCAATAGCCGTAGCGCCACTGTCCTGACGTCAGGACAGTGTTCAAATCTGGATCAGTTTTTATCAGATCCGTTGCAGCCCCTTTTTTAGAGATTTGGGTATGGAGGAAAATAGAGAGGGTTGTGTTTTCTGACACTTGGTGAGTTTCCTGGAACACCGGGGACACATATTCATGTATAAAAGATGTACAAAAGTGCATTTTGCATGATAGGTCCCCTTTAATTAATCAGAAAAAGTGTAGAAAACAAAAGAAAAGGATTTTGGTTAACATTGAGCCAGGCTGTTTTCTATTTGTTTCTCGTCTTTGCTAGGCTAGACTAAGCTAATCATCTTCTGGCTGCCAGTTCATCTTAACTGTGCAGACACAAGTGTGGTATGAACTTCTCCTCTTCTTTTTGGTGAGAAAGCAAATAACTACATTTCTCAGAATATCAAATGTTTCAATCCATCCCGGATTTTACCTTTTCTCTAAATTAGAAGTTTGTTTACTGCTAGCCATAGACCCTTATCGACTCTCTGTTTTGCCCTCCTTGTGAAAGTTTGTGCTCAGACATATCAAAGAAGGGAACATATTTAACACGTGTTCTCAATAATGTATGTTCAATACAGCAGTGTCTTGTTCAGCCAGAACAGATTGAAAATGGAGGCAAAAAAACAACACCATGCAACTGAGAAGATGGGACAATGGAAAAGCAAACACACAACTTGACTTGATAATTGGTTTTGGCTTTTTTTGGATTATTTTATCCAGTGACATAAACTGTTGATTTTGTATTCCCTTAAAGCTACATTAAGCGTGTTTTGACCACTAGGGGGCATAAAGCCCCCCAAACAAACTACCAGTTAGCATATTTACACATCCAGCAGAGTTAGCTTGATTAGCAACACATTGAAACATCTTTGTTCACCTGAGGCCTGTACTACGAAGCTGGATTTTCGCTTAGCCGGCTAACTTCAGGGAAATCTCGGGCTTTCCGGTCCTACGACGCTGGTTCTCTTTTTAGCAGGCTAGATTTCCATGGTAACTTATGCTGAGCGGCAAACCTGCTCCGGAGCAGGTTAGGTGGCAGGCTAAGAGATCAACTCAGTGAAAGCACCGCCTGCTGACCAATCAGAGCTCCGTGTGCGGAGTTTAAAGCGATCAATTCATATTACAGGATAGAGGAAATACAGAAAAACTGCCGTTGCAGGAAAGACGGCCGGCCAAAATCAACTGACTGTGTGAACGTGAAAATTAATAGAATATCCCCTCCCATCTTCAGAGCAATCTGACTATTATAATATTAGCGTTAAGAAAGCTTACTTAAATATCTGCCACAACATAAGTAACCGGATCAGAGTAACATTAAGTACAGTCCGCGGCACTGTGAGTGCAGACGTCGATGTGTCCCATTATCATTCATATCATATCACATCATAATGTATCATATATTTCCTTATTTGAGTCAGCTTCTTGAGCCGTATCTGGCCGTGCAACACTCACAGTGTCACATACTGTATGCAGAAGTATTATTTTAAGCAACACATTAAGTTGATGAAACACTCGAGTCAAATTCTTCTAATTAAAGTCAGATCCACTCGTGTCTTGGACGGGGCAGTGATTTCATAAACCTGTTAATGTACGCATTCAAACACTTTTTCTTTTACCAGCTGTATTCACCTTGCAGGTGCAGCTATGTGGCTTTTATCCTGGATAAAGTGTTTAAGTCATGGATGTTTAAAGTTTAACTTCTTCATATTTGACTAATATTAAAGTTCACTTTTCATTCAGGAAGTATGACGCTGCGCTGTCAGTACGCTTGTCCATGTTTGAGATTGGTCGAATGCTCCAAATACCACCCCTTTCATGTGAACGCGCACCTAACTAGATAGGACACGGCTGGCTTGAGCGATCCACTTGATAACCAGCGTCGTAGTACAGTTTAGCCAGAGCGCGTATGTTTTGGATTGGGCCAACCGGCTAACTCAAACATATCCAGGTTAGGTTGAACCAGCTTCGTAGTACAGGCCTCTGATGAATTCAAATCCAAAACTCACTCTTCAGTACTTGCTCTGTTTTGGTCTCGACCAACTCCCAAGTGACATCTGCTTCTTGACCGATTGTTCACGTTTGGTGCTAACAAACACATATTTTTTTTATCTGGGGGAGTTGTTAAAGAACTATCATTCTATAAACCGTGGGGGCTGCAGGTCTTCATTCTCAGCTGTTTCATCTCTTTACACACATGACACAATCATTTGATCAATTTTTATATAATTGAATATAAAAAAACGTGCTTAATGGAGCTTTAAGATCGTCACAACCAATTAGTCAAAACAAGGTTTATTTCACATGTTGTGTTTGCATGAACAAAGCCTCATTGTAAGCACAATATGCTAAAAAAATGTTTGCTGTATGTGGAACATGCCCCCCCCTCCCCCAACTTATTTACAGAATGGCTTTTTTATGGTGAAAAATGGTTCAGGAGAGAAGAAGCTATTTATTTAAAAAAAAAAAAAAAAGGATTTCTTTACAACCACAATGCATCTGACTGCAATAGCAAAGACACAGTTGTGTTTTCAGCAAATGAACAACTATTCACACTCACTCCTGTGTGCCAATGTATAGTACATGTATATAGCATTCAGTACGTAAGTATTTATTGAAAGTAAAAGGGCTCTGCTTTGTTTTTACAATATGTGCAGTGCCGGCTGGTCAATAAGCTGCAGCAGATAAACCATTGAATCACTTCTAATGACAATTTTTCATCCGCATTTTCATGGATTTCAATGGATTTCAACTTTTTGTTTAAACATGATAGAATAGAAATTACATTGTTTTTTGCAAACAATTAGATGTAAATATACATGCTCAATTTTGAGATGTTTTACTTGTTGTCAGAAAGCTGTCTTTTCACAGCTGTTTTGTTGAAGTTGTTAACAGAGCTGTTACATCACAGCAACATGTACTGACCAGACAAATGCTTTATTTGAACCAATAAAACATTAATAGTGTAGTACCAGTAACCAGTAAAGTCTTTTGTATGCTGTTTGTAGTTGTCAGTATTGTCTAACCATTTGACATTTTGCCCCCTTGTTCTTTCGATTGCTGCCTATACAACATTGCTGCTAATGTTATGCAGAGCTTGTAATGATAAATAGTTGTAGATGTTACATTGACAATCCCTGAGCCTCAGACAGTTACTGCATAGGATTCTCCATGTACTGTAACGATAGCCCCTGTGCTACCTGTGCATTGAAGTATTAGCCTACGATTGTCATGACTGTCAGTCACTCTCTGCTCTATTTGCTTTTCTCTGTATTTGTGTAGATTGAAGTGTACACTACTGATGCTGTTTGTTGTATTGGGGAGCACATAGCAATAAAAGACATGATTAACT